TAATTTTTTTTTTAGTTGAATTCAGCTCGGATCGGTAATAACCCTATTGATGTTAGGACTGTGAATTTAGCGATTTAGTTTGAAGATTATCAATCACTAAAAAATCGTCTCGAATTTTGGCTCGGATCGAGATCAGATAGAAATAAACGAGTCAAGCTACGGGACAAAATTTAAGATTAAATTTTTTCGAGCTAATTTTGAGCCGACCCAACTCTGCTTGAAACTAGATCAATAGTTTAAGGAAACTTTGTTTTTGTCAACAAAAATTATATTTTACCTTATGCTAACATATTTACTTTTCTTTCTTATTAGTGTATTATAATCTTTTTTATTAAAGCAAAAAAAAAAAGTAGCACTAAATATTGCTGAAAGTTTATTGAAGTTCATTAATGAGCAACAAAATAGGCTTTATCCTCATTTTTCCTAGATTAGAAAATATTTTATTTTATTTTGCAATAAAAGATAATTAATATGCTAAATTTTTTTGTTGAAATTTTGACACATTAGAATTATTAATTTATCGATATCACTATAATTTATCAGCATGTAACGATATATGAATTTAGTAGATGTTGAATTCTAAACTGTCTTCTTGGAAACATGCCCCGAGAGTTAAAGTTTGTGAGGAGAGAAGTGAGAGAGAGAGATATGAGAGTAAGTCAAGAGTGTCAGAAAATTCCCCTATGTGAGGATCCAAAAAGAAGAAGTCTCTTTATTGATTTCATGGCCTCCTATTTATAGAAGTCTCAAAATATAGTTACATAAAAAGAAACAACAGTTACTATAATTATCCAAAGCATTGAATCAATGTATGTTGAGTAAAAATTTACATTGTAATGCAAATAAAATTTAATGTCGGTCGACTGTTCGATGTGCTAGTCGACTGACTCTGTCAACCGACCACAGGCCTCTCGGAGATATCCGATAAATTGTCAGAAGTGCATGTTCACTTGCTTGTGCTCTCTCGTTCGGCGGATATGTCGAACGGAAGCGTCCATAGGTCGAAGCTCCATGTCAGTCAATTCTTGCTTCATACTAGGATGGCCCCAAAGTACTCCCCCATTCTATTCGGCTCTTACTCTACTACAAATGTATTGGTCGTGTTAGCGGAAGATGTTAAAGAGATCGAAATGTTGTATGTTTTTTATAACAATATTGTCTTTCGAAAGGGGTAGGAGTCAGACCACCCGACGGACAACGTCGGTGCAGATATGCTCTTCTATCGAGGTAAGTTCAAGTGAGACCTTTGACTACCCTTGTGCTCTGAGTTACAAAGCGTTTTCAACAATGATGGAGTTATTTTGGCACAGATCATTCCAAACTCCATTATTGTGCTCATGATTTTTTTATTTTCTGTCGACTAGAAGTGATCATTTGGTTGACTGATATGTTCAGTCATTTTTACTCATTCAAGGTTGATAAGGAGGATTTTGTCATGTTCTCAGCCGAGAATAAACTCCGCCTGCTTGGAGTCAAAAATAAAATAAAGGACGGGAGGAAACAATTTGTGGTCGGTTCCTACATAGGCAACTGGGGAATCCTAACCAGGTCAGCAGACAGCTAGGGACAAGACGAAGTCACTTCCAAAAGAACTGCAAGCAATCGGGGCGATGTTACACTGCTAAGAGAACCCTTACTCGGGTTTTGAAAAAAGAGATGACTCGGGATCTATGCCCAACTTCTGATGCCGTTGAAGTCGCTCAGGTGAAGGTGGTGAAAGAAAAATTATCTTTCAAGCAGCAAAAGCTGAAACTTCCTCCACCGATAGGTAATATCATAAAAGGTAGTATTTTAGAGGGTCGACTCCTTGGTGTTGTTGCCTCGGCGATGGCCGACGCCTGTGATGAAAATTTTGTAACTTCTTGTCCTAAAACCTCGATCATTATTTAGAATATTGTGACCGGTGAGGTTATCATTATTGCCCGATCTCACTCACTTGATGCGGGAACAAGAAGAGAAAAACAACTTATCATTGACAAAGGAGTTTTCGAGGAAGCTGAGATTCCCAATCTTCAATCTTCAAATTTTTTTCAAGCTGATTTCAAGTCATACACTGATCAGCTCGAACTAGCTAAAGTTCGACTCAAATTATCCTTTTTTTTATTTATAAAAAATATATATATAATGCTAAATATAATCAAATATAAAGAGCTACAAGCTGATTTCGAGCTGAAACATATCCAAATAACTCAGTTTTCGAGGAAGTTGAGATTCCCAATCTTCAATCTTAAAATTCTTTTCGAGCTGATTTCAAGTCATACACTGATCAGCTCGAACTAGCTAAAGATCGACTCAAATTATCTTTTTTTATATAAATTATATATAATGCTAAATAGAATCAAATATAAAGAGCTACAAGCTGATTTCGAGCTGAAACATATCCAAATAACTCAGCTTGAATCATCTTGTTTCTATTTCAAGCCGGATCAAGCCGATTACGAGTTGGAACGAATCCAAACAACTCAAAGTTGAGCCGACTTGTTTTGATTTTGAGCCTGATCAAGCTCGATTCAATTTCGAGCCCAGCTACCTCGAAATCAAACATAATGAGTACGATCCCATTTTGATTTAAACTCAATCCAATCGAGCTGATTTTGCGTTAGCCCCGGCTCTGCTCTAAGTCGGTTTGTGAACAACCGTAAATACAAATAAATAAAAACTATTATTTATGTAAATTGAAATTGAAATCAAAAATTAAAATATAGGGTTCAGGGTTTATGGTTCAGGGGCAATCATTTTGAAAACATGATGATATTGGTTGATTAGCACTGGGTGTAGCCTTATCCTTATGGTTGGTGGTATCATCTCCAATCATACGGCAGAAAATAGTTTTGATTAATATCTTTCAACTCTTATAAAAGAGAAAATTGTTAAAACTGTCTAATGCATTCCAAAGCAAACAGAGCAGCCATTTAGCTCTTTTATAATGGCTAACTAACTATAAAGGATCTTGGATGCATACTTATTTCATTTTTTTCTTATGTGTATGGATGGTCATAAATGTCATTAATAAAGCCGTTTTGGCATCATAATAAGCAGGAGAAAAACAGGCATAAGCAACAATTTAAGGCAAATTTTGTCTCATGATAAATAATGATGTTAAACTTTATTTAAAGTAATTACCTTATTGTTTTTTCATAAATATGTTTATATTTTAATCTTAATGTTTTCATGAATCTCATTTGAACATATATAGTGTATTTTTTATGTATTTTTTGAGTATGCTACCCACATGAATTTTTTTCCTAACAATATATAGGTCCACCAATTGGGGCATATTGGCTCAATTTATTGGATAAACGGTCGAGTTATCAAAAAAAAAGTTGAAATTAGGCCCTAATTAGAGTGAAGCTCGAGCCTTACTTGAAAGCCAAAATTTGAAAGAAGATAAGCTCGAGCTTATACAAATTTGGCTCTACATGCTTTAGCGAGATTCATATCCTATTTTGTGTTAGTGTTTGAAATTTTTATTGTTTGATAGAATTTGCATTATCTAACACAATTTAAAAGGATTTGCTTATTCTTTTCATGTATTTATGGTAAACATTGACCAATTTTATTTTGAGTTATGTTCTTGAATGTTGTAATTCAATTATGCTAACTAATTGTTATCGCTCTACTAGTGTAGCCTATTCCTAACGCCCTATTTGTATCGAAAAACTGGATTGGCTTTAGATTGATTCATTTTTAATTCAAAAGTGAGCTTAACTTGAATTCGACATGTTTGAGTTTATGACCATAATTGGAGCATACTTAGTTCAAATTGAGCTAGATTCTTCCCTTTGTTAATCATAACTCTTTCAACGTACTCCAAAGGCATACTCCATCATTGAAAGAATAAGATAGTTTAGAAGGTTCCAACTACTATCCATGGTGCCAAAAATATACATCAATAATTCAATATTTTATAATATAAGGATTATTGATAATAAGAAAGTCATCATTAGGAAGTTAATATTTGTATATGTACATGTATGAATATGTGTTCGCGCATCTTTATGTACCAATCTTAATGTAATGCTTGTGTTCTCAAAAAATTATTTTTAAAATTTTGAAAAAATATCATATACATATTTTTGAAAATAAATTACACTTTAGTTGTCATACTACATCTATATGCACAAATGTCCCATTTTTATATGTATTTGGGCAACTATTCTCTAAAATGGTTTTAGATCAAAATACCCCCAATGAGAAATAATCTTTTATATTCTAAAATTGCTTCTTACATTGCAATTTCATTTAGTGGTCAACTAAGATTCTCATGAGTGAGGTTAGAAATTGAGGATGATGTTCTTAATCATGAGATAGGTCACAACATTGATGAATTGTTTATTGGACTACATCACCCAAACCAATCAAGACTTCTCCAAGTTACCGGTGAGCATTTTTTCTAACGTAGAATGCTCTGATATAACCCTATCCCAATCTCTAATCCCTCCAATATCTCCTTCATCTTCAATTCATTGCCACCGACTTCTCATCAAAATTTGATTCATTAGACCTCTCAATTTCCTCATAATTCATCTCTATTGGCAAAGCCTGCTGCAAGCTAAGCTAATTGAAATAATCACAATTTATCTTTTATGCCACAATTCCACGAAACTATTTGTTTGATGCCATCACCCTCCTCATGGTCAAGAATATCATTGCAATTCAAAATGAATATCATCTGCGTAGATGTTCTCACTCATGAGAAGAATGATTAAAATATTTAAAATCACGGTTTCTACTATGACTTTTTTGACCAGTTATGAATGTGAAAAATTATATTTCTTTCGAGATACTCTAGTTCAAAGGTTATATAGAATTTATTTCCTTAAAAGGCAATCCCCACCTTTATCTTTTTGTGTAACCGTTGGCTCATTGCATTTGCACCTTACATTCTCATAGCCATACCGGTTCAAACGGTGAAGTACCCTACGAAAGCCGCCCATCCGACCATCCAACTACCGGTCCGGTCCAATCGACCCGCTGGTTCAGCATCATTTACCCGGCTCTGTCTCCAATTTCCAACCGAAAATGCGCGCCGGCCGCCGGCCGGGCTTTCTCTACCCCAAAAATACCTTGCGGCTCGCAGCGCCCCCTTATAAATGCTCGCACCCGGCCCCCTTTATTGTTCCTCTGCAATTACCTAATTTCACGGTCTTCCGGCAGCTAATGCGATTCTTCTTCCCTGGTCTATTCTCATACCGAAACCCTAACCCTATCCATCTCGACGCTTTCTTTGCAAGGTCTTTATCTCTGTCCTTCTCTGGATTTCGCGATATCTGTTCAGATCGTTCCTACTTGTTTCCATCGTCGTGGTTTGGTTCGACTCTCTGGCGGAATCGGCTAGTCCATCCGTCGAGGCCGCTTTCGGTTGAGTCGGGTTTGGCGTTGTCTTCTTCGTCTTCCTTTGCTTCTTTCGAGGGAGCCATGTCTGTGGTGGCTAGCATGGCCGACGAGGCCATTTCGCCGGCGAAGAAATTCTGGTTAAAGGCACAGAAGGAGGCTATGCTTGCTAAGTACACCCCGTTTGTAGTCTGCTTAGCGTCGGGGAAACTTGAGCTGGACACTTTCCGACAGTACATTGCTCAGGATGTTCATTTTCTCAGATCGTTTGCCCGCGCGTAAGATGATGAGATTACGTTTCCCTGATTTATTATGCTTTATTGTCACCGTTAGTCTTTGGCCTTTGGTTTCTATTGTATAACTCCGCCCGCTAATGATGTTACTTTAGATTTGGGCCGGCGTTCATGATGTGCTGTTTATTTTTTTCGTATCTTATGCTTTAAGATTTTGCGGTGCATGATGCTACGTATCATTAATGCTCGTTTTCTTAAGGTTGTCTTGATACTGGAATCTTTTGAGGCGGTCAAGTGGTCATCTAAGATTATTGAATATCAATCAGTTTATTGTTTAGACATCATCTTGCTTTTCTTGCCGCTGAATGATCTTTTCCTTGTGCTTGAATCCTTGTTTAGGTACGAGAAAGCTGAAGAATATGCCGATGATGATGATGCCAAGGCCGCAATATCTAAATTGTGGAGAACTAGCACACAGGAGATGAAATTGCACAACTCTGTTCTCCAAGTAAGCTTTAGGTCTTTTTTAATTTTGAATTTTATTAAAGTTCAACTCCTTTCATTTCGTAGTAGATGGTCACATTTGCTATTTTCCCGTTTTCTTGCCTCCCGATTAATTAACAATTGTTAAATTTTTACTTCTCAAGTAATGCAGTATCGCTCAGCAAATATGAATTGCTTCTATGACAGATTGAAGAAAATCTCTGCATAGATATCACTAATATAAGATGTTCCACATTTTTTCAGTTAGGAGATTTATGTCAAAACTAGTAATTTGGAAGAAACTGATAGCTTTTTCTCCAGAAAGCCAATTTAGTATAATAAGGGTTGACAGGATGAGCATGATATTCTTATATTTTCATGCATAGAGAGGGTTAGAAGTTTCTCTTTTGCCTTGACCCTTCAAAAGGAAGCAGCTCATGATTTTTTTTTCTCCAAATGCCGAGGCTAAGGATTAACCAGACAAGAATGAAATGATTAGCTTGAAGTTTGCATTAAAAGTTTCGAAATGTTGATTGTAGTGTGTGATAGGTTTTTTGGTAGAACCACTGAATTGTTACCTCGCTGAAATCAGACAAATGGTAAATATTTTTGCATTGCAGTTTAGGTGCTTCATTTGTTATTGTTCATTTTTTTTCCATCGCACTACGTGCGCAGTTGCTATGATGTGCTGATCTTAAGCTCATGATGACAGTGATCTAATTCATCGGGATAACTTCTCATCACTTGCAACACACATTGTGGTGCTTTAGTGGCTAGGATCAGGCATGTGAAATGCTTTTATTTTCAATGAGATCAGTTTGAACTACATGACTTGTTAATTTAAATTTGAACATCATATGCTTGATTTGATTCAGTTTGGTGTAATTCCATGGATTTCTTATCATAGGAAAGGCTCAAGTATCTGGGTCTTGGATGAAATAGAGCCTGCGTTCTTGTGGAAAAGATCTTTTGTTTTTGCGTCTGCTACCTCAAATTATAAGGCCTGATGCTATAACAGAAACATTGTATGAGTTATATGCAAGCAGGCTAGTCTTTTCTTAGATGAAACTGTATCGTTTTATTTATTTATTTATTTTTTTTTTGTGTAACCTGAATTGATGTTTTGATGGTCTTTGCAAATATCTAGACTTGGTTATTCCCTTGATTTTCTCCACACTTGAATTTCTAGCATTTTGAATCACTATGGGGGCAATAACCACAATTTGGCAGCATATTTCTATTTTTTTTCATAGCATTTCTATTTCTTTCATTACTTTCCATTTACAACTTGTAAAATGTGAGAGATCCTAGCCCTCTTCAACTTTGTTAATTGATAAGCAATTAAGCTTTGTACGTTAAGTTTTGTTTGGGATGGTTGAATTATATTTTTTTTTGGCATGATAATTTTTTATTCTTAATTGACCTTCAGCTATACATAATTTTCTTATAATCTTAACAAGCTCTTATAAAGCATTTTGTAAAGCCGTAGATGGGCTTTCAATCAACTTTAGATAAGGATTCTTGTGTTCAACTTTGAAATGCTCTACTCACAAGTTTAGTAATTAATAGGCCTATATTTTTTTTTTCGTGTTCTTTTTACCACTAGGTTTCATAGGTTCAAATGCATTTAATAATTTGAACATATACTTATCAAATTATAAACAAGTTTCATGCATCTAATTTAATAGCTGAAGTCACACGAAAATACTATGACATATAGCACTACTGATTTTGCCCATTGGAAGGCATTCTAAGATAGGATGAAACCAGAATGATTTCATATATTTTTTTATAGTTGATGAGCAGGCCAGCAGGATTAATTGATTTTTTTTATGTATTTGCATTTCAAATTTACTAGAAATTTGTTATTTTTATATTATGTATTATTTTCGTGATGGTTACTATAATTTCTGGAATTTTGGTTGTCTGGTCATATTTTAAATGGTACCATTTGCTTTTAGAAGAACTTTTGAGTGAAATTTTTTTTGCAACCCATATTGTGGCTTATTAGTTTTTCCCGTTCTTTAAACATAACTTATATTGAGCATTGAACAATTCATATGCTTGAAGGATTCAACATCTATATTATGAGAATTCAGTTTAATGTTCTTTTATCCATTCGCTTTTCACTTTTCTCTTAAATTATATTGAATCTATAATTTTTCTTGCCTACTGTACTTCACTTTTGTATCAAAGCAATAATCCTGGTATTTTTGCACTCTCCAGAAATTTCATGCTCTTGCTATTTTTATACTTATTTTATTAATTCTCTAAATCATTGGTCATCAATAAAAAATTCTTACTTTTTTATTCACTCCATGCAATTTAATATTCTCTAACATCCTGTAATTGTTCCTCTCTCCACTCAAGCGCCACCTCTCTCCTCCTTTTAGGCAGCATTTTAAACATCATTTTGTACAATTTTCTATTACATACTTTCCCTTTTCCCTTTCTTGCTCTCTTCTTTTCTATTCGCTATCATACTACCTCTTGTATAAAAAAAAAACACTGAAATAGTTCAAAAACTATCCAATTCTGAATTTATAATTTAAATTCAAATTTAATTCAAATCATTAACCACTTTCTGGAATCTCCTCTACAAAAGTAGCCAAACTGTCCATTTTTTAATTTATAGTTTATTTTAAGTTAATTTAAATCATTGACCTCTTTCCAAAATCTTCTCTACCAAATTGGCGAACCACAATCCATTTCATCTCGTGGTTCTGCTTCTCATTATCGCTTGACTTCTAGGCATGAATTCCCAGGAATCCCATGAACCCTTTATACATTTGAAGTAAAGCTTTTGTTTCTTAGAAAACTGAGCTATCATCTTTTTATAAAATTAAAAGATAAAGATATAGTGTGAGGCTTTTTTCCTTCTCCAAGGTTTTTGATACTCTGAAGAATTGTCAAAATTTTTTCCTAAGATTATTGCATCAAGATTGAAATTTAATGTTCACTTGTGTTGCCATTGTATGAGAGTAATTTATTTGAATTAACATTATATTGTCATGTGCATGTGCTTGTTTCTGGTAGCTTTATTTTTTATATCTGGAAACTAATAATTGATTTTATTATTGGATTTATGGCCATCTCGTTAGTTACATTTCAGGATGCTTTAATGCATGTTTTTGTATCATGATTATTACATGAATATTGATGCCTAATATTGAATTAGTCTGGCTAAACATTTTGGGCAACTGAATATAAGGTGGCTATGTTTAGATCGGAATGCCTGTTAAATAAAGAGAATCGTGAAAACTTAGAATATAATTTTTATTAGGTGATGGAAAGTGAGAGAAGCTATTTGGCATATCTTTTTTTAAATGAAATAACTTAGAAATCTTGGAAAAAAAACCTCATGTAACTTCATCTATTACCTAATGGCTCTGTAAGGTTGCCACCTAATAAGAAAGAAACCTCCATGCACATTAAATGATCTAGTGGATCTGTCTATAATGGACCAACATGCTAATGATGGAATCTTCTTAGGTTGTCAAAAATGTCCTTCCAATAGATCTTCAGGACCATCATTATTGACTTGAGAATGCTAGGAAGATTTCAAAGATCTTAAGAGTATATGTAGACTTTTAAGAGATCATAAAAACCGTCTGAGATCTTGAATAAATTGTTATTCTATTGATGATCATGATGGTTAATTAAGATCCTAATTATCATGACATGGATCATTGGGTTCATTTTGATCAGCATCATGATGCATCTGAAGCAATAAAAATAGTTGATGACAACCGCCCTCCATCCTTAAGGGCAATGCATTTCTTGATTTTTGCATTTGAAGTTGAGGATTTCTTCTGTTGTAATTTCATAAGGGATCAAGATTAAATTGGTAGGAGCTGCTAATTGATTATAGTTAGGAGTCTTGAGCAAGAGTATCACTTATTGTACACCCTATTAGGACATGGACTAACATGAAATATAGCCTGAGAGAATTGTTTAATTCTTATGCCTATTATAATCTTTTAGTTGTTAAGAATTTGATAAGTCTAAGGTAAGACAGTCAACCTGTTGATGAATAATTAAATTGGTTTGAAGAATTGAACTTTGAATGTGATCAACAAGAAGAAACATCGTTAATATTTAGATTTGTAAGATGTCTTCATTTTGAACAAGTCAGAAGTCCAGTTAGTTGAACTTAGGACTGCAGATGAAGGCGTGGAACTCATCTTAAAATATAGTTAGAGTTGAGGCATCTTTGAGCCTGTAGTACTTGTTTTTTGTTTCTTCTATAGGGGGAGTTTGTAAATGTTAAAGACTATTTTTTTTATGTTCCTAGTGTTTCTATTGATAGCATCTACAAATGTTATAATTATTTGATTTATATGACGTTTTTAATTTCTTTTGGGAGAACATTGCATTTAAAAATTTTTAAAATTATTTAGCCATTGAATTAATATCCAATAGAATCACTCATCTTCATTTTAATTTTATTCTTTTTTGTTCTCAAATTGTTCATAATTCACACTAAATGAAGCCGTTCATAATCATATATTAATTTTTAAAGATGCTCCATTATAGAACATTTAAATTAAAATAAAATATTAATGAGTGCAACAAATGGTTTTTTTTAGCGTTGTGCAAGATCCTGTTGAAGAGTTAAATAAAAAGATACTTGGCTGGGTCTCCAATGTTTTCTTTTGGGCTTTTAGGAATTAGCTCCAATTATTTGATAATACAATAGTTTAACCGTTTGGATGATTTGATCTTTCTTCTTGTGTGTATGTGTGTTTTCTTTTTCTGTTTTATTTTGAATTACTATTGAATTTACTAATCATTTGTGCCTTTGGCATCATACAGTAGGGGGCACGTTGGGTATATTTGGTTTTAAATTAGTCTGAACTTACTTGGTTGTGTTTTTCTGAGGTAAGCTATTTTGCAGGATTGGGGAGTAGACCCTAGTAAAGAGATTCCACCTAACCCTGCAACAGTTAGATATACAAACTTTTTGGATGCTACGTCTGCTGGCAAAATTGAAGTAGGAAAGGGCGTTGGCAAAATTGTCACTCCTTTTGAGAAGACGAAAGTTGCTGCTTATATAGTGGGTGCGATGGTCCCCTGCATGAGGCTTTATGCCTTTTTGGGCAAGGAGCTTGAACCATTTCTAAATCTAAATGGAAGCGCTCATCCCTATTCGAGTTGGGTGAAAAACTATTCCCCCTCAACCTTTGAGGTAATCTTCAAGTTCTGACAGTCTTTCATATAAACAATTTATTCATGTATGTACTATGATTCCCTTATATTTTCTCCTTTTCTTTTCCTTCAGGAAGCTGCTGTGCAAATAGAAGAACTGCTTGACAAATTGAGTGTTCCTCTAACTGGAGATGAGCTGGATGTTATACAGAAGCTCTATCATCAAGCCATGAAACTTGAGATTGATTTTTTCTTAGCTCAGCCAATTGTTCAACCTTCTGTAGTTCCATTGTCAAAGCTGCATGATCCGAAGAAGCGGTTTTTTATAGTTTCCGATTTTGATTTAACTTGTACATTGCTTGATTCCTGTACCATTTTAGCAGAAATCTCAATTAAAAAAGAGGCTGCAAAATCTACTGATCTATCAGTTGCTGATAACCCAATCAATCAGATGTCTTCTTCTGATTTAGGAAACCTTTGGAGGGATTTATCTGGGCAATATATTGTGGAATATGAGCAATGCATAGAAAAGTTATTAGCAGTTGAAGAAGGTAAATATTGATCACCTTATTGTTAGTTATTTTCCCTACAGACTACTGTAGATTGTAATCATCAAATATAACTAAAAAAGTGTTCTTTGCGGACGGTGAACTGATTTGTTGTTCTTTAATTTGTTTTGTTTCCTCAGCTAAGACATTTGCTCCAGACGATCTTTATAATCGTCTACAGAAGCTGTCAGAATTTGAGAAAAGGGCAAATTCTAGAGTTATCCTATCAGGATTTTTGAAGGGAATGAATATTAATGACATAAAACGTGCAGGAGAGCATTTAAATTTCCAAGATGGGTGTTCAGTTTTTTTTCAGAAAATTGTCGGGTCAAAAGAAAGGCTGCATGCAGATATTCATATTCTTTCGTATTGCTGGTGTGAGGATCTCATAAGGTCTGCCTTTACATCAGGTATAATCTTGATTTGTACTGTATTACCTTTACCCTTTTTAATAGAATAATTCATTGATCTCGTCAATTGAACTAAATTTCTTGTTAATTTTAAACTTCAAATTTCACATTACAATATGATATTTGAGATGTTGTTTGGGCCGAAATTGCTTAATATTAAATGTTTACTTCTCAATTAGTTCTAGTTTCAAGGAAGTAAAAAGTTTGACCTAGTTAATTTTAGCAGACGCCTTATCCTTGGTTTTGCGGTCTTCAATTGAACTACATTTTTCGTTTAAGTTTAAACTTTGAAGTAAATTTTCAACTAGTCTTATTTGGCAGCTATCGTCAATTGGACTACATTTCTTGTTTCTTCCATCTTCAATTGAACTACACTTCTTGAGGTTGAAGTTTGTGTTGCAAAATGAATTCTCAATTGTTGTTGTTTTGGCCACAGCAGTTTAATATTAAATGTTCACTTGTAACTTTATTTAATTTAAAGGCAGATTTTTTTTTTTGGTTCATCCAAAACCAGTTCAAAGTGATGGTTTTATTGATGGGGATGTTATTAAAAGAATTCAAGTTGGTTGGTTAAAGTGGAGGAATGCTTCGGGCCTACTGTGTGATAGAAAAGTACTGCTTAGACTGAAAGGAAAATTTTATAAGATGGCAGTGAGACCTGCAATGCTCTATGGCGTTGAATGTTGGTTTTTAAAAGAGAAGCCTAAAACTAAAGTGTTGTTGAGATGAGAATAATTAGGTGAATGAGTGGCTTTACACTAAGAGAACAAATGCGAAATGAATACATCCGTAATAGGGTTGTGGTAGCTCCAGTGATTGACAAAATTCGAATGGAGTCGTCTTAGATGGTTTGGTCACATTAAACTTCAACCATCTGATGATCTGATTAGAAGAGTAGATGTTTAAAATTTAACTTATGTTAAGAAAGGCAGAGGTAGACCTAGAAAGACTTGGACATATTGTATAAAAGATGATCTTAATTTATTAGAAAAATTAAATGAAAATATGACACTGAATAGGACGCAATTGAGAAAAAGGATTCATGTAGCCGACCCCACTTAGTGGGATAAAGGTTTTGTTGTTGTTGTTGCTCATCCATAACCTTACTTTGGTAGGAGATGCTAAATTTTATCCTTTGATGGCACTGTAAAGATAATAAATTCACCATTTGGCCAATCACAATATTTGACAACAATTTTATGTCTTGAAGCACTTAAAGAAAGATGAACCAACTCTTTTGAAAATTATTTCAATGACTAAATAAAATCAAATTGCAACTTTATGGTCTAAACAATTGTCTAGTCTCAATGATTCATACTATCTAAAATCTCAAATGCATGCCCAGAGTATTGGCCACCACTCACGAATGTTGTCACTCCATTCTATCAACCAACCTCTCCATATCCTCAACCCAAAAGAAATTTATCCATGCCCTTGAATCACAATGTTTATGTTGAAATTTGTTTGCATCATCCATTTAGACCTTATACTACCTAAAGCTTTGATGGACAAAAATTCACAAGCTTTTTGTGCCATTGTCCTACTCTCTAGGAGATGAGCATTTCAACGCAAAAAAAGAAGACTGATTTTTATTGTATTTTGGCTTCACATTGGGTTGCGGCCCAATGGGAGGGGTCCACCTTCGTCCTAGTTATCCGTTATTATAAATATGTTGTTTTTTGTGTTATAGTTTAGTCTTTTTTGCTAATTTCAGATTTCTTGTTGTCGCATTTCTCCCTTGTTAGGTCTGTATCCAAGGACAGGTGGTGCTCCGGTTGTGTGCTGCTCCAAGGTGGTGACTATTTCCATATAATTTCTTACCTATTATCTTCGTCTCGTTGCCATCTTCCATGTGCCCATCTTTTCCTGTTCTTGTTGTTGCCAGCCCCTCCTGCAACCCCCCTCCCGCCTTCAAGTCCTCTTTCACCCCCACCTGTTGCCTCCAACCCCCATGCACCCCAAACTTTTGTCGCCAACCCTTCCAGCACCACCATCTACAGCCACTAGCCCTTCTTTCACTCCGACCTATGGTCGCCACCCCTATTAGCAACCCCATCTGCTGCTGCAACCTCCTAGACTGCCTCCGACCAGTTTTCCAGTTGAATTCACCATGTTCGTCCTTGCCTTAGGGTTCGTTTTTGTGTTGTGTTATTTTATTCCTGTTCTAAGTACCATTGTTGTGATTCTTTTTCATTTTAACAATGATATTTACATTTTGTTGTCTTCCGGGTTAACGCTGGTATCATAACTAGTCTAACCTTAGTTTTTTTCCTAGGATTTCTTTGTATCCGCTTTACCCAAACATCCCTCCCCACTGAAAGTTTAATTTCCTACTCTCATCCGCCTCTTCCAATCCCCATACCATAATCATGCTTTCATAGAGATGCATGCCTAAACCTACTCGAGCGAGATATAGCGAGAAATTCATTGATTTCAATAGAGGCTTACGGAGATTGATAATGGAACCTAGGGGAAATTACCCTCAATTGTGATCGAGAAAGTCGATAGAGATGATGTGAGTGATGAGGATGACAAGCCCCGACGTTTCATAATTCAGTATCAGAGGAGGTCGAGAGAGAAGGTTACATATGGAGGACATAGTGATTGAGTTATGGATCCCGACGATTTTATCGAATGACTGTAATTAGTTGAGAGGATGTTTGAGTACAAAGAAGTTCTAGAGGATAAAAGAATGAAGCTTGCAACCATCAAGTTAAAAAAGAGCGCTTTTCTTGTGGTGGGAAATTTACAGAGACAGAAAGAGAGAGAATAGTGACAAGATTTCCAACTGGGAGAAGTGGGGAAGGAGATGCAGAGAAAATACCCACCGCTTCCTTGCTGTTAGCATATATTTCTGAGACCCCACCACCTTATTGGTGGAGAAGTTTACGACACAGATTGACCAACTACAAATGAAGTGTGAGTTGGTCGAACCCGAGTAACATATCAAATTCCATAATCTGGGTGCCCAAAGCCCGCTATCAACAACGTGGTACGACTGCATCCCTATTAGTACTGAGAGATGTCCATATCTTAGCTTTGAAAGTGGAATGACAACGGAAACAAAGTGCATAACGACCCTCATTCAGACAATAGTCCTCATTCATGAAGTCACCTGCAGTTATAATCATCGACAGTTGTTCCTCGGGAGGTGTTGGAAAGACAGAATGCGGAAGTGATGAGATAAATCTGAGTAGAAAGAAGCAAAAAAAAGTGGCTCGCCCAGTACAGTGCCTGTTAGGAGATGTTCCATCTGGTCAATCAAATATTCCTACATTTTGAGACCCGCGAAGTAAGAGTTGCAATGACAGACATCGGATATCGTCGTGAGAGGTTTGGTCCAAGTGAATACTAGTCCATGTGCTATCCCTGCTTTGATGGTACTAGGGTTGTAAATGAGTCGAGCTTGAGCAAGCTCAGGCTTGACTTTTGTTCGACTCATTTAAAATTAGCTCTTATTCGAATTTGACTCGTGTTCAAAATTGTTTGTGAACTATGTGTTTGTGTTCGACTAGATTGATGTTTTCTTGTTCGTGTTGAGCTTGTGTTTGGCTCAAAATTAGCTCATTAATTTTTTTTACTTGTTTTGCTCATGCTCAAATTAGCTCAATTCAAATTTAGTTATTCAAATTAAGCTAATATTCTGCTCAAATTTTATTGCAACACCTTATTTAATTTAATTATTATTAAATTAAATAAATTAATATTTTCAATTTTTTCTTGTGAAAGAGTGGCTTAGCTTCTACTTTTATAGAGCTTTTCTCACACATTCCCTTCCTTTCCGATGTGGGACTAAAATGTGAGATTACAACATTACGCATGACCTCATGTCTTACTGCAACCAAGCCACCCAGAGGGGTTTCATTCCTGTCCCATGTGGTTGTGCCTTCCTAAGCCAAACGTGAAGCACCCAAACCAACAAACTTAATACACAGAATTTTAGGTTCATTTACATATGTAAAACCTAAATTTTTAGACCCATTTACATACATACCACCCAAATTCTATTTATTTACATACTTAACACCTAAATTTATGTTTTCTTATTATTATGCCACTTAAATATAATTTTAAAATAATAAAATTTAGCCTTTTTAATACATCTAAAAAACTAATATAAAAAGATATAAATAAATATAACTATTTAATTATATAATTCACCCAGATTAAATTATATAATTATTTAATTATATTAATTATATAACTTTTTAATACAATGAGTTGAACATGATCAAACAAATATTTGTTTATGCTCGACTCGTTTGTAAATCGAGTTCAAAAAAATTGTTCACGTTTGCACATTTGCTTAATGAATGAATCGAACACAAGCCATTTAATGATTCGAACATGAGCTGTTCGCGAATGACGAGTTTTTTTGACAGCCCTAGATGGTACCCAAGAAAGACAAATTGCGGAGGATATATATTGATAGTAGGGCCATCAACAAAATTACCATGAAGTACTGGTTCCTCGCACCTCACCTGGACCATCTCTTGGATGAATTGCGCTAGGCGTTTGTCTTTTCCAAGATCGACTTACACGACGGGTGTAACTAGATCTGAATGAGGCCAGAGGATGAGTGGAAGGCCGCTTTCTAAGACCTAGGATGGATTGTACGAGTGAACAATCATTTCTTTCGGATTGTCTAATGTGTACAACACGTTCATGAGATTAATGAACTAGGTGCTCTGGGCATGTATTGGGAAATTTGTGGTGTACTTCAACGACATTTTGGTATATAGCAGGTCTATGGAGGAGCACTTACAACTCCTTAGGGCGGTATTTGAGGTTTTACGATAAAAAAAACTATGCACCCATCTAAAGAAGTGTCACTTTCTGATAGTTCATGTTTTTGGGTTATATAATATCTAATGCAGACGTTCAGATGGATCTTACAAAGATTGAGACCATTGTGAGTTGGACTACACCGCAGTCTTTCACCAAGTTGAGCTAATTTTTAGAAACAACATCAATCATTTTATAGGTGATTCATTAGGCTT